AAAAAAAAAAAAAAAACCAAAACAGGAGCTGTAACTTTTAGACTTTAATAGTAACAAAGACCAAAAGAAACAAAGAAGGACATATAATGGTAAAAGGATCATGCAACAACAGGGGTTAATGATCATAAATATATACGTACCCAATATAGGAGTACCCAAAAACATAAGACAAGTTCTTACTGACTTATAAAGAGATTTGGACTCCCGCACAATAATAGCGGGAGATTTTGACATCGCATTGTTAATATTCGATGGAGCAATCAGATAGAAAATTAATAGGGACATCTATGATTTGAATTTAGAGCTGGAATAAGTAAACTCAGTGAATATTTATAGAATTCTCCACCGCAGGTCTATAGAACATACATTTTTCTCAGTATCATATTATACCTATTCTGAAAGTGACTACGTAATTGGAAGTAAATTACTCTTCAGTATTTGCATAGCATCTCACAGACTTAAATATTGGTTGTCTGTTTGTTATTTTCTTCCCTTATTCCTTCCTATCTCTGTTGTTAAGTACAATTATTGGCATAAAAGAGGTTTTTAATACCTTTTTAAGATTGCATTCCAGCCTGGGCAATAGAGCAAGAATCCTGTTCTCTCTCCCCCTTTTTCTTTCTTCTTCTTTCTTTAAAAAAAAAAAAAAAAAAAGTGACACATATAAAAGATGAGTGCATGCCCTTTGCAGGGACATGGATGAAGTTGGAAACCATCATTCTCAGCAAACTAACACAGGAACAAAAAACCAAACACCACATGTTCTCACTCATAAGTGGGAGTTGAACAATGAGAACACATGGACACAGGGAGGGGAACATCACACACCAGGGCCTGTCAAGGAGTGGGGCCTAGGGGAGGGGTAGCATTAGGAGAAATACCTAATATAGATAATAGGTTGATGGGTGCAGCAAACCACCATGGCACCTGTATACTTATGTACAAACCTGCTCATTCTTCACATGTATCCTAGAACTTGAAGTATAATAAAAACAAAATGCAATTTTGTGTTAAAGTCATAAAATAGAAGCTATTAAAGAAACTTTAGTCTTGCTATTTACATTCCTTATTCCTCCTTGATTTCCTGGTTCATCTTTGTCCTTACTTGGGAAGCAGTTTCATTTAGAAAAGGGCAGCACAGTTCATCATGGTTTTCTGAATGTCTTAAGTTGTCTCAGCTTTTTCCTTTTCTCAGTGGAAAAAGGAAAAAGGTGAGACAACTTAGACATTCTAGGATCTCAGGCTTCTCTGCTCTAGGGAATGAGAAGATTTTTAATCTTGTCATGGGCTTGTGTTTACTTGACCTGTGTATTGTATTATAGTGGGTTATAGTTACAGCAGTTTAATAATTTGTCATCTTTGTTTTCCCTGTGTAGATGGTTCCCACAGAACTAGTAGAAAAGGAATTTTGGCGGCTGGTAAGCAGCATTGAAGAAGATGTTATTGTGGAATATGGAGCAGATATCTCCTCAAAAGACTTTGGAAGTGGATTTCCAGTGAAGGATGGGCGGAGAAAGATGCTGCCAGAAGAAGAGGTGCAGATTTATCCAAACTTCTGCTTACTACCAAGCTGATTTAGCTCTTGCATAGAAAGCTACATTTCTTTATCTTAAGGGACCTTATTAACTTAAAATATTAAGTATGTAGGATTTGACAGTATAAATCTTCGGTTTTAAAAACAATGAATTCAGAATACTTTAAAAAATTATTTAACTCTGCATTTATTTATTTATTTACTGAGAAGGAATCTTGCTCTGTCGCCCAAGCTGGAATGCAATGGCGTGAACTTAGCTCACTGCAACCTCTCCACCTCCTGTGTTCAAGTGATTCTCCCGCCTCAGCCTCACAAGTATCTGGGATTACAGGCATTTGCTATCATGCCCGGCCAATTTTTGTATTTTTGTAGAAACAGGGTTTCACTATGTTGGCTAGGTTGGTTTTGAACTCCTGACCTCAGGTGATCCACCTGAACCTCCCAAAGTGCTGGGATTACAGATGTGAGCCACCACGCCTGGCCATTAACTCTGCTTTTTTTTTTTTTTTTTTTTTGTCTGAGAAGGAGATTTGCTCTTGTTGCGCAGACTGGAGTGTAGTGGCATGATCTCGGCTCACTGCAACCTCCGCCTTCCGGGTTCGAGCAATTCTTCTGCCTCAGCCTCCTGAGTAGTTGACATTATAGGCGCCCACCACCATGCCTAGCGAATTTTTATATTTTTAGTAGAGATGAAGTTTCATCATGTTGGCCAGGCTGGTCTCGAATTTCTGCCCTCAGGTGATCTACCCATCTCGGCCTCACAGAGGGATTAGAGGCTTGAGCCACCATGCCCAGCCTCCATTTCTCTTTTATGGCCACCTTTTGGTGTTAGCTATTTTTAGTTCTAACGGTCTAATTCCTCTGTTTTGTGTGTGTGTTTGTGTGTGTGTGTGTGTGTGAGAGAGAGAGAGAGAGAGAGAGAGAGAGAGGGAGTTAGTTTTTAGTGTTACTTAGTTCTATTCTATTCTTGCCATATTGATTTTTTTTCCCCTTGTGTCATGGTAGACCACAAGTTAGGATAACAAGGTAACAAGGTTAGGATAATACCGATTAGAGAATAAACTTTGGGTTTTACCAAGGGAGAAAGAGAATGATTATAACAGAATGGAGAACCTAGATTATATAGGGATGGTTTTTACTGGAACAGTTCAATGTTGGAATGTATACATGTTTAATGTCACTGAATTTTAAGCCTGTTTGTTTAAGTATCTGTAAAGAAATGCATCAGTCTGACTGTCTTCACACTCTTTCATTGGCAAATGGAAGGTAGTGATTTCATTATTAGAGATTTCATTTTTTAGTTTTTGCCTTTTTCTGAATTTTGTTTCTGTTCTGAATTTTTAAATTGTGCTTGAGCATATATTTATATTTTCTAAGCTTTTATAGATCACAGAATTATTACTGTTTTTTTTTTTTTTTGAGACGGAGTCTCACTCTGTTGCCCAGGCTGGAGTGCAGTGGCACGATCTTGGCTCACTGCAACTTCCGCTCCCCAGGTTCAAGTGATTGTCCTGCCTCAGCCTCCTGACTAACTCCTCTCCTGCAACTGTAGTCCCGACTAGCTGGGACTACAGTTGCACGCCATCATGCCCAGCTAATTTTTTGTATTTTTAGTAGAGACGGGTTTTCACCTTGTTGGCCAGGCTGGTCTTGAACTCCTGACCTCGTGATCTGCCCACCTTGTCCTTCCAAAGTTCTGGGATTATAGGCATGAGCCACCGTGCTCCTCCAGATCACATAATTTTTAAAGATTATTTTATATCAACCCTAAGTAACTAATATTAAGAATGTAAATACTAGTCTTAACCCCATTATTGAGTTTTGTATGAATTTTATGAAAACATACTCATTTATCTATTTCTACTTTTACTCTAACTTCATGTAAGAATGTGGAGATATGCAGGCTTACAGCTGTGTGTGTGTTAGGAGCAGCTTTTGTCCTTGATAGTGATTATTAGATGGGCTGGGAATCCCAGCTACTCGGGCTGTTTGATGTTTTCTGTTGTTGAGTAGCATATTATTATTATTATTTTTTGAGATGGAGTTTCGCTCTTTGTTACCCAGGCTGGAGTGCAATGGCGCGATCTCGGCTCACCGCAACCTCCGCCTCCTGGGTTCAAGCAGTTCTCCTGCCTCAGCCTCCCGAGTAGCTGGGACTACAGGCATGCACCACCATGCCCAGCTAATTTTTGTATTTTTAGTAGAGATGGGGTTTCACCATGTTGACCAGGATGGTCTCGGTCTCTTGACCTCATGATCCACCCGTCTCGGCCTCCCAAAGTGCTGGGATTATAGGCATGAGCCACTGCGCCCGGCCAGCATATTGTTTTTAACATTAGTGGCTTAATAACAAATACTCATTATCTCATAGTTTCTGTGGGTCAAGCATTTGTGATAATGATCGTTTTTTAATGATACTTCTAGCTTGGAGTCTCTCATGAGGTTGCCATGGGACTGTAGTCTCTTTAAGGCTTGGTTGGGGCGAGTGGATTTGCTTTCAAAGTGGCTCACTCACATAGTTGTTGCCAGGAGGCCTCAGATTCTAGCTATGTAGGCCTCTCCATAGGGCTACTTGAGAGCCATATGGAGTTGCAGTGTCTTTTATAACCTAACTTCGGAAGTCAGACTGTTTGGCCAGGTGCTGTGGCTCACACCCATAAACCTAGCACTTTGGGAGGCTGAGGCAGGTGGCTTTTTTGAGTCTAGGAGTGCGAGACTATCCTGGACAACATGGCGAAACACTGTCCCTACAAAAAATGTAAAAATTAGCCGGGCATGGTGGCACACACCTGTAGTCCCAGCTACTCATGAGGCTGAGGTGGGAGGATCACTTGAGCCTGGGGAGTTTGAACCTGTAGTGAGCTATGATCGTGCCACTGTGCCCAGCCTGGGCAGCAGAGTGAGATCCTGTCTCAAAAAAAAAAAAAAAAAATCAGACTTCATAATATCTGCAATATCTTATTGGTTACTGGGTGAGTCCTGTTCAGTGTAGTTGGGGGTTATACAAAGTTCTGAATTTCAGGAGATGAGAATCATTGGTGTTGGGGGGTATATTAGCTGGCTGCTTTTATTATTTTTTATGTAACAGGTGGTTGCACAGCCGGCCTAGTGTGACTTATTTGTCTGCCAACTGTGACTCTTTGCATTAAGTAATTTTTGGATTAACTGGTTGGAATTATTTTGCTAAATGTCCTAAGTTTAAAACTTCTCTTTTTAGTTTTAAATAGTTCGAAACATTGATTCCTGGGCATTAAGAAATCAACCAAACTATGAAGAGACAGGCAATAAAGCCTTTTATCTTGACTGGGTCGCAGATTTGCTATTTATTTTCTTTTGTTTTACTCAGGACTCTGTTTTTGTTGTGAGATGGTATGAGGCTGGGCATGGTGGCTCATGCCTGTAATCCAGGCACTTTGGAGGCCAAGGCAGGCAGATCACCTGAGGTCGGGAGTTCAAGACCAGCCTGACCAACATGCTGAAACCCTGTCTTTATTAAAAAAAAAAAAAAAATGGTATGCGAGAACCCATTTATGACAAAATGATTTTAGGGACTAACTAGACAATGTGTTTGAAATTTTTAAACTTTTTATACTTTATATAAATTTATTACTCTCTGAAAGTTACTTTGTTAAAATAGATAACTACCAGCTTTCCACTGGGAATTAAACGTTTGTATTGAACTTCTGTAATATGAGTTATCCTCTTGGTGTCTGATAACACACCTCCTTTCTGGTATC